CACGTGTAAGCACTTAACCCAGAGCCAGGCATAGAAATTTTTAGTAAACAACAGATATCGTCCTTCATTATTATCATCATCGTTGTCATTGTCACGAAATAGAAATTTGGTCATCTTATGCTCTGGCTTATGTATCGTCACTGCCACCCCCCTCCCCCAGCCCCGCCTGCTTAATCAAATCCCAACTTCTTAGCATTCGCTCCCTGGCTCTCACCTACTTTTGCAGTCTTTTCTCCTATATGCTTTCTTTGATATTCCCTTAATTCTATTTTTTCTTTTAATATTTTAAAGAATATTTTCAGTTTCTTTATTTTTAAGTAATCTCTATGCTCAACATGGGGCTTGAACTCATGACCCCGAGATCAAGAGTCATGTGCTCTTCCAACTGAGCCAGCCAGACACCTGATGTTTCCTTAATTCTTCGGTCATATACCCTTAATGTCCCAATCCTTCTGCCATGGTTCTCACTGTTTCTTACAACTGTCAGGGTTTAATTGTTCCAGGCCTTTATGGGTACTTTTCGCTCTGTCTGGAATACCTGTCTCCCATCCTCAAATACCTCAGAGTCCAACTTTAGAGGACCTTCTCTGTGATGCCCTCTCCAAATTCTTGCCATTCATTCAAGAAGTATATATTGAATACCTACTGTGTGTCAGGCACTAGCCCTAGAAGCCGGGGCTTTGGCAGTGAACAAACCTTCATATGAAGGGATAAAGGTTTCTATCCTCAGGGAGCTTACATTGCTATGCAGTTTATCCAGACCAGTTTAAACTTTGTCATCTGCCTACAACGTGCTCAACACCATGCTAAGCACTGGGGGTACAAAACTGAGTAAGCCTTAACCCCTAGCCTCACAGCTATAGTCTGGTGAGAGAAGGCCTCTAAACAGATCATTCCGGGGTGCCTGGGTGGCTCAGTCAGTTAAGCGTCTGCCTTTGGCTCATGTCATCATCTCAGGGTCCTGGGATCGAGCCTCATGTCGGGCTCCCTGCTCAGCGGGGAGCCTGCTTCTCCCTCTGCCTCTCCCCCTGCCATGCGCTCTCTCTTTCAAATAGATAAGTAAAATCTTTTTTTTTTTTTTAAAGATTGTATTTATTTATTTGAGAGAGAGAATGAGAGAGAGAGCATGAGAGGGGGGAGGGCCAGAGGGAGAAGCAGACTCCCTGCTGAGTAGGGAGCCCGATGCGGGGCTTGATCCTGGGACTCCAGGATCATGACCTGAGTGGAAGGCAGTCGCTTAACCAACTGAGCCACCTAGGTGCCCTAGATAAGTAAAATCTTAAAAAAAAAAAAACCAGATCATTCCACGCATTGTGGCAAGGAGCCTAAAAATGAAGCTCAGGGTTTTGTGAAAGCAGTGAACAGGGGCGCCAGGCCCCGGCATGGGGAGGGTGAAGGAGGTCAGAAAAAGCTCTGCTGGAGAACGTGATAGAACTTCCTTGAGGGAAGACTGAGTCTTACAGTTTGAAGGTGGAATTGACAGGTTGAGCAAGGCATGGTATGGGGAGATCTGTAGGTAATTTGGGGCTGCTGGAGTTTGAAATTTTAAGGCACGGAGTGACAGGAACAAGTCCTAAAGGAGGAGGCTGGGGCCCCGTCCTGGAGGGCCTTATGAGCCGACACCAATGTGGGCGTGCTTCGCATTCATTTGTGGAAATGATTGAAAACCAATACAGCGGATGCCCAGGGCCCATCCCGAAGCCCTGAATCAGAATCCTTGCTGATGTTTATTTTTAACAGCTTAAAAGGTTTCTGATACACTCAGGGGTTTGAGTGCTTTTGCCATGGGGAGCTATTAAAGGTTTGCAAGTAGAGGCATGACTATAATTTGTGCTTTGGAAATCTCACAGTCACTCTGACCAAGTGCAGGATGGATTAGAGAGAGAGACTGGAGGTAGAGGTGAGCCGAGAGAGTTTTCTAGATGAGAGATGAAGAGAATGTGATGTCTTTGTCAGTGGAGATGTGTAGGATAGCCATCACCTGAGATCGTTCCCTACAAGAGCCCTGTTCTGTCCTCCTCATTACCCACCCAGCAAGGGCCAGGCCCAGAGAAAGTGCTTCATGAATACTGAATCAAATATGGCCGAAGGGAGTCAAGGCCCCCAAGACTCTTTTCTCCAAACAAGCTTTCTCTTTGTTCCTTTGTGTAATGGCTTTCATTCCAAATTTAAGAAAACCTTTTCCCTGCATGTCTTACTGGTGCAAATTCTGAGATTAATGTGTATTGGAATATAGCCCCCACAGTGGCTGTGGAAAGACTCTTTAAAGGTTTGATCCTATCAAGTAGAATGCGGTAGACTTTCAAAATGTTTTATTTAGCTAGTTTCTTCTTCTTTTTCAAGTGTGCATATATAATGACTACTTTGGGAAAGCCTCAGAAGAAATGTGTATTGGAAAGCAGTCCCAGGATCAGGCTGTGCATTCTTTACCTTATAGAATTGCAATTAGGGCCAGGACAAGGGGAAAAATGGGCTTCTCTGCTTGGCTTGGACTGCCTCATCAAGATCCTGTATCACCTGACCTAATGATAAAAGGTTATGAAGCTTAGAAAGAAACTAGGACATTTCTAGTACTGGTTTAGTATTTTCTCTGACCTGAGGCAAAAGTAGACAGAGACACCAAAGTGACCATTCTCTCCCTTTTGGGCCCATCTCTGTTTTTCTACCCGCAAATTGTAGTACAAGCAATTGGGTTGTAGAAAAAAATATTTCCATTTTCCAGATCCTTTAAGTTGCTTTTCAATTGTATGGTTCAGTGGCCCTTAGAAGAGAAATTTCCCCACCTCTCTTTATACTTAATGATGTTTGTTTATAGGAAGGAAGGGAGGGAGGGAGGGAGAGGGGGACAAAAAGGCAGGCTAGACCAGAGGCTCTGAAACCCTGGTTGCATGTTAGAATCACCTGGGGAGATTTTAAAAATCTTGGTACTGAGGCTGCATCCCAGATCAATTACATCTGGGGGATGTGACCCGGGCAATAGTAGCTGTTAAATCTTCCTAGATGATTCCAGGGTACAGGCAATGTTGAGGACTACCACACTAGTCAAATAAGCCCCATGTGACTATATTTTTCAAGCCCCAGATCAGGACACGAATGCTAGCTCTCATTTCTTGAGTACCTCCTCTGACAGGCACCCTAATGTATCTTACCTTTTTCTCTCAGGTCAATCCTGTTAGTTGGGTGGGGGATAGAATTCCTTTTCACTAAGGAGGAACAGAGATGGGTAGCTTGCTCTATATCCTATAGCTAAGTGTCTGCCTGACTCCAGAGTCAGCTGACTTAGCTGCCTATCAGAACAGTGTGAGAGTTGATGGAGCTTTGTGTTTCGGGTAGGAGACAATTTGAGTATTGTAAGTCGAGCATCAAAAAGTTTGAGAATTCATAGACATTTTAGTAGTGTACGGGGATAATATGCAGCAAATTGAAATCAGGAATGTCTTAAATTCAGAGACATGTGTTAGCTACACATTGTCATCTCCTGAACCTTTGAAGTTGTTGGATGCAGAAAAGGAAGCTTAAAATGGGAATAGGTATTATCATCCCCATTTTTCGGCTGAGAAAATGGAGGTTTGGCAAGATTATCACTTGCCCAGATCAGACAGCTAGTAACCAACAGAGCAGATTCTGGGGCTCACTCCCAGAGCCCATGCATGGTCTTAATCACTATACCACACTGACTCCTGACAAGGAGCTTTGAAGGGTGGGAGGGAGGTGGCATGATGGTATATTGGATAGCTTGGAAACTGGCAAAGAAAAAGGGACCAAACCCTGCCTAAAGCCTTCTGTGATTAACATGTTTTGCTAGATGATTGAATTGTCTTGAGTTACCCTATTAGATTATAGGATCTGGAAAAGAAAACTCCTATTAGAGTTTTCTTTGAGTTACTGAACCGTAATATCATATGAGAATTGTTTTTATAACATGAACATCGATGAAATCCTATGTTAAAGAAAAATTTGCCCAGAATTGTATCACCCTACATATAAAGGTATCTTCTTTGGTCCATGCTCTGCTGTATCTAGTGCATGGTGTATACAGTGTTCACACTGGTGAGTTACAATCTGGGTTACCTAACACCATATTATAAAGATTGTTCCATGCTGCTGTATAGTCTTTAAATTTGTCATTTTTGATGACTATCTTATTTCATTGAGCACTTAGTCCATCATTTAGCTAAGTCACCTATTGGGGGGCATTTGGTTTGTAATTTTTCAATATTATAAATCATAGTATTTTAAACACCTTTTTTGCATGTAATTTTTTTCTTCTATGGGGTCATTTCATTTTTTTTTTTTTGAGATTTTATTATTTATTTGAGAGAGAGAGAGAGCACAAGCCGGGGAAGGGAAGGCAGAGGGAAAGGGAGAAGCAGGCTCCCCACTGAGCAGGGAGCCCTATGTGGGACTCAATCCCAGGACCCTGAGATCATGACCTGAGCCGAAGGCAGCCGCTTAACCCACTGAGCCACCCAAGCGCCCCTACGGGGTCATTTCTTTAGGATATATCCCCAGAAAAGGGGTATTTCTCAAGTTTAATAAGGCAAAACTTTGATTTATAAAACTATGTCCTGAATATGCAAGTAAATAATAGATTATTGCCACTTTTGTTACATCAAGTGATAATGGTTACATTTTCTAGATTGAAGCAAGTTATATGAAGTTTATTATATTAGAAACTAGCCTTGGACCTCTTTGTATCCTTTTTGAAATAGAGAATTTAAGCTACTCATTTTTTTTTTTTTTTTTTGCTTTGGTTAGAGACCTGCAGCGTTCAGTCAAATGGAGTCTCACACCTGTTGCAGGTGGCTGCATCCAGCCCCGCTGCTCATCCTCTTTGCTCAGCAAGAGAGCCTGGTGATTTTTTGTTTGATAATGTGGGAGTCCTGAGATTTAGAGAATCAGTAGTCCACCTCAAAACTGACATGCTTTGCATTTTTGAGAAAGCTCCTTTGATTTGCTATAGTGTCTGGTTAACAAGGATCTTTTTCATTTTGTTTCAGGGACAGTTGGATTTTTTTCCTGTTTCTGGTTTATTACTAAAATCTACAGTGTGGTAAAAGTGGATTAAAGAATGTCTCCCAAAGGCTTCCAGGCATGTCACCACTGCTTTCGAATATATACATCTATATCTATATGAACATCTATGGAGATACATGTGTATGCTTCCTACTACACATTTTAAATATATATCACGTAAAAATCTCATTGTCTGGCCTCAGTTTGTATGACACAAAATACTGATTATGTGGAAAAAAACAGGTTGGTTTGGAAACAGGTTTATTCTAAGTAAGACTGTCCTGAAAAGATACCATAAAAAGGTTTAATTGAAAGCAATTAGAGCAAGGGAGGCACATTTCTTTAGGAAATGAAAGCTGAGCACACGGGCTTTTCAGATGAAATGTTTTTTTTTTTTTTTTTCTTTTTTCTTCATTTTGTTTACAGCATCAGAACTATTGTCAAATAAATCTTAGGTAAAATGTGAATTTTTCTAACTTACGTGGATTGTACAGACTGTATTCCACCCTTGTATTTGGATGACCATTTTATTTTATGTATTTATTTATTTTTGAGAGATTTATTTATTTTAGAGCAGGGAAGAAGGAAAGGGGGAGGGAATCTTACTTAAGCAGACTCTGCACTGAGCATGCAGCCCGACGCGGGGCTCGATCCCACTACCCTGAGATTATGACCTGAGCCGAAACCAAGGATTGGTGCTTAACTGACTGTGCCACCCAGGAGCCCCTATTTTATTTACTTTTTAAAGGAAGCTCTACGTCCAACATGGGGCTCAAACTGACAACCCTGAGATCAAGAGTCACTTGCTCTATTGGCTGAGCCAACCAGGTGCCCCTGGATGACCATTTTAACAACGCACATCATTTTTTTAAAAGTTTTTATTTATTTGAGAGAGCAAGAGAGAGCATGAATGGGGGTAGGGAGAAGAGGGAGAAACAGACTCCCCACCGAGCAGGGAGCCTGATGCAGAGCTCCATCCCAGGGCCCTGAGATTATGACCTGAGCCCAAGGCAGACGCTTAACCGGCTGAGCCACCCAGGCGTCCCTGCACATTGGTTTAGTATATAGGGTTTATGAAATACCAGGTACTGCTGTCTTATTCCTTAATTAAATCTGCACATTTCTGGTTATTGGTTGTCTTTTTCTATTTGCTGTCCTTTGGAGGCTGAGAATGTTCAAGTTTGACTTAGCTCTTCGGAACCAGTTTTCTGGGATTTATTTGCTTTGACTGAACAATAGTCAGGTGTCATAACTCCCCAAATGTCAGGAATTCGTATGACAATATTCTCCAAGCTTGCAATTTTGGGAGGCAGTCATGAAAATCATATATTTTCTGTGATACATTTTATTGATAAATATTGGCCTTGTTGAGGAAAATGTTTGAAAACTGTATATGCACAAGCTTCAATTCATGAACATTCTCAAAGCCTTCCTTAAGCTGAGGAGTACTTGTTTGTGTGTGTGGAGATCAAAGAAGCTCTGTTGCTCTTGAAGGGGAGATTGGGATGGTGAGGGATGGGGTCAGAGAGTTGCATTCTGAAGGAGAGTGGTGGGGGGAAATGGAAGTTACTAGTTGCCTCAAGGAGGAAGGTAATTACCTAGCCAGTAGGATGGCTTTGTCTATATTGAAGGATCAGGGCTCAGACCCCAGGCAAACAGACCTGGGGCCTGGAGCAGACTAGCCAGAGAGGGAGTGGCTATAGAAGGTCAAAGGTGTGTCTTGAATGGAATTTTCAGATCCTCTCTACCTTCTCCCATTCAGTCTTAAAATCAGGCCGAGCCCTAGGCCCTGCCTGAGAGGAGTAACTGCTGTTCTGAGATTCATTGGAACCAATTCCATTCTCCTCTAAATACTTTGAACTAAGCAGTGTTATAGTGAGCTTCGGGGGACTCTTCCCACTGGGTTGGCTGCCTGGGAATTTTATCTAAGCTCACAAGCCCTCCTATTTGCACTGATGGTAGTAGTTTGCTCGAAAGGCAAATTTGTTAAAAGAATGAGCTCTTGCCATTTGTGACACATGGCTGGACCTTGAGGGTATTATGCTGAGTGAAATAGGCAGAGAAAGACTGGTATCATATGATTTCACTCATATGTAGAATCTAAAAAAAAAAATGAACAAATGGAAACGGACTCATAGGTACAGAGAACAAATTGGTGGTTGTCAGTGGGGAGGGGGGTGGGGGGGGATGGGCGAAATAGGTGAACGGGATTAAGAAGTACAAACTGCCAGGTATAAAATAAATAAGTGATGGAGATGGAAGGTACAGCATAGAGAATACAGCCTATCATGTTGTAATAATGTTGTATGGTGACTAATGGTGACCATACCCATTGCGGGGAGCAGCGAGTAACCTACAGAATTGTTCAATCACTGTGTTGTCCACCTGAAACTCATATAGCATTGTAGGTCACCTATACTTCAATAGTAAGTATTAGAAAGAAATAGGACAAATTTATTTTTGCAGCCGTGTACAGGTCTCATGGCAGCCATCTTTGAACATCTTGAAATACAATGTGTACATCAGTGTTTAGCTTGATTTTGGAGTGAAAAATGGAGAAGAGCACTTTACTTTGATTGAAACGGAAATGAATAGCTCCCTGAGCCTCTGAGCATGGGCCATGAATGCCACTCGGGAAGCATGAGCTGTGCAATTCCTTGAACTGCTGATGAGATGACAGAAGAGCCACTAGCAGGTCAAGCACGTCAGCTCCGGAGGAACTAGGGGGCTCTTACGTTGTAGACATATTTGACTGTCTCGTCTGTGTCCTGTGTGTGCATGTGTCATGGCTGGTGTTCAAGGTATAATTTTCTCACCCTGGGGCTCGGGGGAACGTGCGCCCGCCCTCCTGTTCTGGAAACCCTGGTGAACTGGGGCTGAGCTGAGGTGGCTGGAACTGGGTTGTGCCAAGGGAGGTGTCCTGGTCATGGGTAGTGGGGTGGTAGGGGCAGGAGCCCAGTGGAGGTGACCTGGTTGCTGGGCAGTATTGTTTCCTAAAATGGAAGGCTACTCCTTCCCCTCCCCCTGGTCAGACCTCATGGCCTTGGGAACCCCACAAACCACCTGGCCCTTTTCCTACTCTGCCCACCCCACTGTCACTTTGAAATCCTTTTCATTCATAGAGGACTGAGGCACATGCCCCTCTTCCAGCAAGGCCATCAAGATGGCTCCCCCATCCCGTTCATTATTTCTTGTATTGGGACAGCACAGTATGAAATCTTGGAGCCCCTATGTTCCATCCTACCATGTCATACAGTTAGTTTATCCTGTCTCCTCCCTTCCAGCAAGACAGAACGCATGGAGACCTAGTTGTGTGTCTTCCTCACTGTTTTCCCACTGAGCCCGGCATAATAACCAGATACGCACATTAAAATTAGACTTTATTTAGCATATTTAAGAAGAATACCAAGGACAGATTAACAGCACCTATTTAAGAAACACAAACATTACTTAAGAATATTTAGTTAAGCCACAAACATCAATCTCTCTGCCTTCCCCAAGCAGGAGTCCATTATTCCTGTCCTGCAAAAAAATGCATTGTAACCATTTTAGAAAGGATCCAATTAAAACCAACCAATATATGAAACCTTGTCCTTGGGCAGAGTCTCTGAGACTACTGGCCCGTGTAACAGTATTGATTTATGAATTTGACTGGGGTGTGAAGGGGTTTCTCTTCTTGCTGGGGCAGGAGGGTAAAGCCCACCCCTTTTGTGCACCTGAAGGTAAGTTGTGCCAAGGGGAGCTTGGCCCCAGGATCGTAATGTGGCAATCCTTTGAAAAGGCACTTTTAAATTACAAATGTTTTTTTTAAAGGAAAAGGAAAATTTTAAATTCAAAATGGAACATATTAAAGAGATCTGCTTTTGACTGAATGCATCTTTCTATGGTTTTCAGTCTCAAAGCAAATAAAGTTTGATTTTAAAGGCAGTTTCAGAAATTACTCAATGAGGGTATATGTATATACATAGTCTTCTGTTTTCATAGGTTTGTTTTAAAATATAATAAACTCATAGTTCTCTCTTTTTCGTCTGATGCAAATGTTGTTGATACATGACTGTAATATTCTCAAACACCTTAGCTGCGAACCCCGGAGGAGTCCCACTACGTTATTTACCCATCCGTGCTCTAGCTCATCTCTCAGGCAACCGATCAAAGGAACAACCCAGAGCAACCTTTTTCTGGGTTTGGGTGCTGCTCTAGCCATGGGGGGATGGGCACAATATAGATCTGCTAAATGTGCATCCTGTCAGTTCACAGTCAAGTACTGGTTGGGTCTTGAGAGTACAGTATTTTTTTTTTTTTTAATCCTGCCAACAGGACTCCAATAGCCTCTCCTGGGGTCTGTGCTCTTTGAAGGGGGAAAGGATTGTCTTTTTTGATTTTGCATTCTGTACATTCACCCTAATGGACAACAGGCATACCAGTGCCAAGCATGTTGTGGAGAACCGCCGGGGAGGACTTCAGCCGAGATGATTAATTCACACTAATGATCAGCTGTACCAGAATAAGTTCTCCCCTGTCAGAGACTACCAGGGACTTAAGGGATGAAAGGCACCTGTTACCTGCTACCCCACCTTGGAGCCATCTCACACAGCCTGTAGTATACACTTTACAAATGAAATTGTAAAAACGAATGTACTATGTTCTACTTCAGAAACGGACCAAGGTGTGGGTCACACATAAAATTGTGCATGCATTGTATTAACTTTACATGTACGAACTATCCATTGTTGAGGATGACACTATCTATGAACACATACATCTAATATCTAGCACCTTATCTCCAAGAACACTGGTATTTTATATACAGTTACAGCTTAGATTTAGGAGAACTACCACAGAAAGGAATACACCACTGAAACAGACCAAAATATCAAATTTGTAACATTAAAGTTGTAACACAGATGAAGCAGGGTGGGGAATCCACTCAACTTTAAAGCACCAAGCTAAAACCAATCTTGTTTTCGTCTACAGTTTGGAACAAGGGAGATCCAGTAATGAGTCTTCAAACATAGCGAGCCTCTCGTGAGTGTAGAAATTATGTGGTTTCCTCTCGGTGTGTGTACTTTGAGATCTAAGAGCTTTGGGAGGCAATGATGGGAACATTTGATTCCTACTGGCAACCTTCATTTTTACCTCGAGGATTCTTATTCTACTTACCAAAGAGCAGTG